ATAAAAATCCAATTGATTTTTATATCTAAAAACTTTGTTAAATTTTGTCCTGAGCTCTAATAATCTAGCTATAGACTCCTTTGAGTTTTTTATGTGGCTAGCCAAATCACCAGGAGGTGACCCTTGCGCCTTCCTTCCCAGTAAGGAAATGAGACACGGAGTGTTACTGAAACCATGACGCCCATGAATAGAAACCATGATGCCCACCACAGTGTCTTTGAGCATGTTCTATCAGTTTTAAAATGAGTACGTTTGAAATGGGTCAAGCCTCAAACTCTTAAGGCAAACAAATTAGCAGGGATTCAAAGGAATGATTCCAGGGCAAAAATGAAGGGGCTCTCTTTGTTGAAACAGCAATGTAAAGCAAGTTACTTTACACATTATATTACAAATATCCCATCAGCCACTTGGAATTTTCTTATAGGATAAACATTGACTAAATATCTCAAGCTAATTTGCAATATAGCAAAACCTGCATTACTCTTTCTTTAAAAAGAAAACAATATCAAGAGGAAACCACCTTCTACATTTATTACAACTTACAACCATAAGAACATGAGTCTATTTAGAAAGCTTACCTCAGTGCCCCCAGAAGTGAAGATTATGTCTTGGGGTGCCCCACCTACCATCTTCGCCAGGCTTTCCCGAGCGGCGTTTATAATATCCTTGGCCTTTCTACCTTGAGGGACCAAAAAAGGAAATTCATTAACATTGCTTCACCAAGTCCAACTGACACATTTAAACGAACAACCACACACAAAGGAGTAAAACATCTGAGTGGGCAATTCTAAGACGAAACATGTCCCATTAATGTGAACACTACAACATGCTACAACCTAGAAATAACTCAGCAAAGGAGCAGCAGTAAGACATTAGCAAGTCAGTGAAAACTGCTGAAATTTAAGTAACTTAGATCCAGCAACAAATACGGGAGGATGCCTGGGAACCCTGCAGTTCCCTGAGACATGCTTTCTTCTTACCGGGTGCTAGAGGAGAGGGAAGCTGTGGCCATCTGCCTTGCTTCCCAGTCATCAAGACAGGAGAGTGAAAGGGTGGAATAATTTGCTTAAGATCACACTGCAAAACAACAAAAATAAGCAAAAACAGAACTTCATAACTCCTCAACACAAATTCCAATGCCATACCTCACATCGCAGGTCACCCTAGGTACTACCTGAACTCAGAAGGTTACTGTCTCAGGGACATATCTGCTTTCAAATAGGGGCTCTACATCCCAGCTATTACCAGTTTCATTGGCTAATAGGAAAACACAGGAACCATACTTCATGTGGTAGAGAGAGAAACGCCCTGGGATGGGAATTCTGAAAAATTTGGTGACCATTCTTAGTGTATAGACAGACCAGTAGTCTCCAAACTTTTTTGACTATTTAGTCTTTTTTTCTTTTTTTTTGAGACAGAGTCTTGCTCTGTCACCCCAGATAGATCCCATCAGCCTAGCTCACAGTAACACCAAACACCTTGGCTCTAGCGATCCTCCTGCCTCAGCCTCCCAAGTAGCTGGGACTGCAGACGCGCACCACCACGCCTGGATAATTTTTTCTATTTTTAGTAGAGACAGGGTCTCACTCTTGCTCAGGCTAGTCTTGAACTCCTGACCTCAAGCGATCCTCCCACCTCGGCCTCCCAGAGTGCTAGGATTACAGGCGTGAGCCACCTAGCGCTGCTGACAGTTCAGTCCTATTTGTAAAA